CTAGTGGTTTTCTTTTGAAAGGTCACAGCCAAAACATCCCATGGAATCATCCAGGATCAGAATCAACTTGACAGCAACTGGGTTTTAGTGGTTTGGGTAAATCACAACACACTTCACACTAGCATTTCAGCTCCATATTCACCATATCCTTGGGTTCCCTCTCTTAAAACCCACTCTGTCTCCTTCTCCCCTCCTACTCCCCTTCCTAACTCCCCATCTTCGCTCATCTACTCTGGTCTATGTTGGCCTGAGGGCACAGCTTCATCAGCTAGCCCCCCCACGCCCCCATCACCCCAGCAATCTGCAGAGAAACTTCAACAAACACACAAGCGTTCCCCTACTTCCTTAGTCTCTACTGAGCACAGGGCTTCCTTTGGGGTGATCAGAATGTCCGGGATGGTTGCATACTGCTGCAAATGTACTGAATGTACCTGAAGTGGATGATGTACTGAGTGGCTATTTTAATGAGTGAACAATGAATACATAAGTGGCTGGCTGAGTTAATGAATGAGTAGGTGAATAAAAATTACATGGAGGTGACCCTATGGAATGCAGAAATCATCGGAGAAGATCATTAATATCACATACGAGTAAAATTTTGCTGAAGATAATGCAAAAAAACGGCTGCAGGGATATTAACAGGAAGTTGAGTTCAGAAGAGGCTGTGGAACGAAGGAGAGCAGTGCTGAAGTCAAAAGACCTCTTTAAAGTGGTGAAAAGCAAAGATGTTACTTTAAGGACTAAGGTGTGTCTGACTCAAGCCATGGTATTATCCATCACCTCATATGTGTGTGAAAGATGGACAATGAATAAGGAAGACTGGAGAAGATTCAATGCATTGGAATTATGGGGTTGGTGAAGAATATTGAAAGTACCATGGACTGCCAGAAGAGCAAACAAATCTGTCTTGGAAGAAGTACAGCCAGAGTGTTCCTTAGGAGCAAGAATGCTTTGGACATGTTATCAGGAGGGACCAGTCCCTGGAGGAGGAAAACATACTTAGTAAAACAGAAGGCCATTGAAAATGAGGAAGACCCTCAGTGAGACGACGAACACTGCGCTGCACCAATGGGCTCAGACATAACAACTGTGAAGATGGCGCAGAACTGGGCGGGGTTTCATTCTGTTGTGCATCAAGTTGCTATGAGTGGGCATCGACTCGATGGCACCTAATAACATCAATATGTTAATGAGTGAATACAAGAATATATGGATGAGGAATGACTGTATGAATGAATGAATGACTATAAGAATGAGCCAGCACAACATGTGAACATGTGAATGAATGAGTCAATGGCGGATGAATGAATGACTGCATCACTGAATGGTAATCCCTCTTCCCTACATCTTCTGAGTCAGTGAGGCAGTAGTGCTGACCATGAGGAGTTCCCAGCGTGCCATTTGTGGGACATCCACAGCAAAGGGAGAGGTGCCTGCGAACCCCTTTCAGAGATCAGAGTCCTGGGTTCCTAACCCCCAAAGCATGCCTGGGTCCCAGCCCGGCATCCCTCCCCTGACCCACTGGGAAGACCCTCCCAGCCGACACTCCTGCCCCTGCAACAGAGAGAGGGATTTAAAGCAGGGGTCCTCAGCCTGCTGTAACCTAGGAACTTTAAAAACATCCCTGCCAGGCCCACCGTTGAGGTTCTGATTCCACCCTGCTGAAGTCCAGATGTGGGGAAGGTTTTAAGTCCCCAAAGGATGCAAATACGCAGTTAGGGTTGAAAACTACTGTCTTAAAGACTACAAAAGCTCACACTCAGTTGTTAAAAGCCTCTAGAGACTTCCCATTGCTCTCAAAATAGAATCTGAGTGAATGGAAAGGAATAGAATGGAATGATATCAGGGAGGGGAGGGTGATATAGAACCAAACAGACTAACAGAAATGAAGAGAATCTAATAAGAAAAGGGAATGATAGACAATAGATTAGAATAATAGAGAAGACTAGAAGAGACTAGGAGAAAAGGTAACAGTAGATAAAAGGATAGAACAACAATAGGAGAGAAGCCGAGGGAGAGAATAATCGAAGATGACAGAATATAAGTGAAGAAGACAAAAGAATATAGAAGACAAGAGGATATCCTAATTGACTAGAAGGGGAAATAGGGTCGGATAGGATCCAACAGATTCCCCACCCCCCCTTTCATCAGCAGCACCCTTTACCAGCAGCCGAGTGCACTACACAGCCAAGCCCACCATCTAGGACTTCCCCACATCTTTCCTCCCCTCAAACACCAGCGAGTGCCCACCTCAGGACCTTTACATTTGTCCATCCTACCTGCCTACTCTGTCCTTACCCCACATGACAAGCACACAATGTCACACAATGTCCCCTCCCCATCCTGACTGTCCTTCCTAAAGAACTGCACTCCTAACCGCCCTCCATCTCATACAATTTCATTTACTTCACAACATTCTTCATTATCAGAATGTATCGTATTTATCATTGGTCCTCGTGTCCTGGGGCCGTTCCCTGGGTACTGCACATGCTCAGTGTTGTTGTGTGTGTTCTTTCAAAGCAGGGTTTCTCGTCTCGTCTATTACTCATCTGTTCTCCACCTTGGTTCGGCTGACATGTGGAACCCGGTCATTCTTTTCTGGGAGACAGGGCTGTAAGATTGTAGCATGTTTCACAGTATCCTTGGCTTCTAACCACTACATTCCAGTAGCAACATCCCCAACCCAGTGGAACACCCAAAAATGTCTCCAGGCATTGTCAAATGTCTCCTGTTGTGGGAGATGAGAATGAATGGCCTCATTTGAGAACTCCTGTCTGGAAGGACTTAATCCCATGGTGGGCTCCCACAATGTGAAAAACACAGGTCCATCAAATCTGTTCTTGATGCAGTTCTGCCATATGGCCAGCAGGTGACAGCAAAGACCGCCATTGCACTAGTCCGGCTGCTCTCACTTTGTGAACATTTTGGCATTTCTTTCACCCTGTAGGATAAGCACAAGACTGCTAACCATAAGGTTAGCGGTGCAAGATCACCAGCCCTCCTCAGAAACCTTATACAGGGTGATTCGGAATCGGAACCAACTCATCGGCATTCAACAACACAGTCATGGTTTGCAGTAGTGATGTGCTCTTTGTACACTAACCCAGACCAGACTAGGGAGAAAGGCAGATGGCCAGGAAGTGCGGGTGCTAATGGAGCAGAGGACTGAAAACGAATCCAGAGTTTGCATTTTGGTCCAGCTGCAACCCTTTCTCTCATCTGTACTCCGCTTCCTGGATCTCTGTAGCTGTCGCTGCCAGTTGTGATGGGGATGGAGTCAAGGAGAGGGTGTCATGGTGTGACAGAGGTATTGTCATCGAACAGCCCTCACCACTAGTCCCCAGCCCTGGGCTCCCAGGCCTCCCATCTCTGAGACTGAAATATCCCATCTGGGCCTGGGCCCTAGGAGTCGGGAGAGGACGACCAGGTGACACCAATGTGCTACAAGAAGAGCTACAGGGTCATTCTTACAAATGCTCCAAGTCCTGTTCCTCACGTGATCCCAAGCCAGCAGTATCACCCTGGAGCTTGTAAGAAATGCAGATTCCCAGGCCCCAGCCCAGACCCGTTGAGCCTGTTGGCACGAACCCGACAGAGCCTTCAGCGGGCTGGCACGTGAGGACTGTTGCCGCCAGGTGATACAGATGTACGGCCACCCCGGAAACCATACTCCCAGTGGTCAGACACGAGGACAGAAGAGGAGCAGATTGTTCTAGAATCAGGAGTCACTGAAGGTTGCCCATGGACTGCCTAACCAAGCCCCTGGGGACTCTTTCTACAGCTGTTCTAGACCTATCCCTACCCAGATACAGCCAGGGCTACAGTCCAAGAGGAGAGAGGACTCAGGGCCAACAGAGTCCTGGAGCTGGACGCCATCCCCCAGCAGGCGGAGGGAGCGTCTTAACTTGGCCACGCAACTGCTTGTGATGTGCCATCGTGTCCCGTGTGTCAAGCTGCTGCCTCCAGGACACGGAGGACCGTAGCAGGTGGGCCTCCTCCGCTCATCCAGCAGCATGACCATCCTGCTACCCCGAGGAAGAAGCATGGATGTCACACTTTACAAACACTTGCTACTCAAAGTGTGCTCCCTGAGTGGACACTCGGCCTCCTCACAGGAGCTTCTGGGAAACAGGCTCTGGGGTCACCCAAATGCCAGGCCACCTCCTTCTTCCACGCTTTATCAATGCCACAGACCACAGCAAATGTTAAGGGTTGTTATCACGATGCCCACCGCTAGTCTGTCAGTGTGCCATATTGTGGGTGTGTTGCTGGGATTTTCAAAGCTATGCTATTGGCATTTTAAATACCAGCAGGGTCACCCATAGTGGGCAGGTTGCAGCTGAGCTTCTAAAATAACACAGACTAGGTAAAAGAACTGAAGCTCTAACTTTGAAAGAAACTTGGCGGGCAGAACCTTAAGAATAGCAGCGGCACACTGTATGGAAGATGCGTCCCTCAGGTTAGGGTAAATGACACAATCAAACCCATTGCCAGTGAGCTGATTCTGACTTGTAGGGACAATTGAAGACAAAGAATGAATTACACAGAGAATTTTCAAGGCTGTATATCCTAACAGAAACAGACTGCCCATCTTTCTCCCTTGGAACAAATGATAGGTTCAAACTGGCCGCCTTTTGGCTAGCAGCGGAGCACTGTAACCAGTGTACCAGGCTGGAAGGCACTCAACATACGGCTGGGGAAGAGCTGCCTCCTCCAAGCAGAGAGGATCTTAAGGGGTCGATGGAGCAAAGCTTTCCGGACCTTCATTTGCTGATAAGAAACGCTGTAAACAGAATCGGGCAGCGATTCTTTCGTTCTGTCATACAAGGGTGGTGGGGGGGAGGGAGGTGCTCTGAGTCCACAAGGACTGGACGACACCAAACAAGAATGTATCATTACTTAGCCGATGCGGGTTCAGCACACACACACACACACAGGATGACAGCGGAGCCCAGAGCTCATCCACAGGACGGAACCGCGAAGACAGGGAGACAGCAGGTTCAGATGGCCTGGTCCTGCCTCTGCCTCCGGGTGAGCTCCCGGGCGGCTGCCAAGAAGGCCGCACCAGTGAGCAGCTCTGCCGTGATGCTGACCCAGCCCAGGGCCAGGGACCAGCCAAAGCGAATGTCCACCTGGTCCAGCAGGGCCTTCTCCTCCAGGAGACACAGCGCCTCCCGGAAGGCCGCCGCTGAGTAGGCGATGTAGACGCTGATCCCGGCTAAGGTCACCAGGGCTGCAGGGGGGACAGAGGGAGACAGCGGTCAGAGCCACAGGGGGCGCCAGTCAGCCACCCTCCACCTCTTCACACCTTCCAGCCTCCTGGGCAAATCCCTACCCACCACCCCTGGCAGTTTAGCTCACAGCCCCACCCCCACAGATCTGTGATTCTGCCTCATCTCCGTAACCTCTAGACTGTTGTCTCTGTCCGCCCGCAAAAAACACCCCCACTCTCGGTGCCTAGGCCCTCGAGAGAAAAGAGTTTAGAGCTCTTCTGTCCAATCCGGTTGCCACTGGCCACAGGTGGTTTCTTCCATTTAAACTCATTGATCTGATGCCACTGGGGAGCCAGGTGTGGGCCACAGACAGCACAGAACAGAGCTCCCCACCCCTCACAAAAAACTCCTGTGGGCGGGGCTAATCTAGAGGTGGAGCTACAGGATGAACTCTCCACGCCCATGTGCACGAGAAGAGCCCAAAAGGTCACAATAGTTTCACCTCCAAGACCTGCTTTTATCTGTCTGTCTGCGGGATCAAGATTATGCGAGTGCTGTGCATGCGTACGAGTGTCCATGTGAGGGGCATGTATGAGAGTGTACGTTTTTGTGCATGTGTGTATGTGTATGCATATGTGTGGTAGAGTGGTGCTTTTGTGTGCATGTATGTTGCAAGTGTGTGTCATGTGAGCATACATGTGTCCATTTATATGTTCTTTGTGTGTATCTGTCCATGCAGCATACATGTATGAGTACCTCTCTGTGTGTGTGTGAGCGCCTTGGTGTATATGTGTGTATATGGGTAATGTGTGTGCATGTGTGTGAGTGTGTGGCTGTATATGGGCATGTGTGTTCCTGCATGTGTGTGTAAGTATATGAGTGTGTGTATGTATATGAGTGTGTGACTGCATGTGTGGATATGTGTGTACACATGCATGTGAGTAAAGGTGTGTTTGTGCCTGCATGTGGGCATACATCACTGTGTGTGCATGTGCATTGTGAGTGTATATGTGTGCAGACGTGTGTGCATGGGTGTTCGTTTGCTGTGCATGAGTGTGTGTGTGTGGCTATGTGAGCGTGTTTGCACCTGTGTGTTAACACGTGAGTGTATGTGTATTTGTATGTGCATGTAAATGTATTGCATGTATGTATATATGTGCCTGAGTGGATGCACATGTGTGCATGTGTGTGGTTATAAATGTGTTGCATGTATGCCCCCAGGTGTATGTGGATATACATGTGTGTGCATGTGAGTGTAGTGTGCTATGTACATGTGCGTATGGCATGTGAATGTGTGCGTATGTGTGGTTTGCATGTTCACATGTGTTGTGTGTGTGTGGGTGCAGGCATGTGTTTAGATGTGCATGTGTGTATTTTGGTCTACATGTGCCTGCGTGTGCAGGTCAGTGTGTGCACTACATGTGTGTGATTGCTACTGTTTGTACATTCAAGCACATTTGTGTGTATATGTGTGTGTATGTGCATTTGCATGTGTGTTTGTGTGTCACACCCCTCTCCCTTTGTTTAACGAGGAACCATTTTGAACATGGAAGCAGGACAAAGAGCCGTGGGGCAGACAGTCATGGCTCGCCCTGCCATCATCTGTGCTGCCTGGGTTTGAATTGGGTAGAGTTTCTGTCACAACCAGAGACAGGAATAAGGGTACTAGGTGGCCAGAGTCAGGGTCTCCATTAACCCCCTGCCAGAGTCTGGCTTCTTCTGTGAAGCAACAAGAATGACTCTCAGAAGCTGCCCATGCCCCACCTCCTGCCTCCCAATGGCTTCCTCTGTAACTAGGGGTCCAGGGGCTGGCACCGGCATCACCCTCTCTTCTAGGTGAGATGTCACAGATGGGGAAACTGAGTCCTGGAGAGTTGATTGAGCCCTCCCTCTCCTCCCTCACTGAAGTTGCATCTGGGCCCAGCGTCGGGGGGCCTACCTCCAAAGAGGAAGAGGACCCCAGTGAGCAGAAACAGGAGGTGGGTTCTGACGAGGAAGCTCAGAAAGCCCAGCATGCCCCCGAAGACCATGAGGATGAGGCTGAGTGGCAGCAGGGTCACAAAGGTCCCATGCATGGCTGAGGACACAGAGGACAGTGGGCAGATAGCATCATGACCATCCTTCACTCCGTCAAAACTCATGACTGTAACCACTCTGTCACTGTTGTCACCACGTCTCCTACAGATGGGAGTCCCTGAGGGGTACAAACTATAAGCATGAGCAGCTACTAATCGAAAGGTTGGAGGTTCAAGTTCACCCAGAGGCACCTCAGAAGAAAGACCTGGAAAGCTACTTCCCAAAAATCCACTAACTGAAAACCTCATGAAGCACGGGTACACCGCGCGATGACAGTTGTTTTTCTCTAATGATAATGACAATAATGTTGCTGAGGTTCCAAAACCAAAGCCGAATCCAAACCCACAGGTGTTGAGTCGATTCTAATTCATAGCGACCCTACAGGACAGGGTAGAACTGTCCCATAAGGCTTTCAAGGCTATAAACGTCTAAGGAAACAGATTGCCACAACTTTCTTCCATGGAGAAGCTGGTGGGTTTGAACCACTGACTTTTCAGATAGCAGCTGAGCGCTTAACACTGCTCCAGCAGGGCTCCTTTCCTGAGCTCACTGTGTGCTTTATAAAAGTACAGTCCTCACCCAGCCCTATGAGGCAGGGAATGTTACTGCTGTTTATTCGCTTATCCACTCAACCATGTCAATTGCGTGCACACTCTTCCAGGCGCTGTTCCAGGCACTGTGGCTTCAGTGGCAAACAAACCAAGCCCCCTCCCCTTCTGTGAGCCTCTCAGCTGAGAGGGGAAGACAAGTGCAAGGGGACAAAATGGAGAGGAAGGGGTGGGGAGTGCTGGGTAGCAATTTTCAGTCACTCACCTGGAAGGGGGTGAGGGACTACAGGCAGTATTGGGGTGCGGCCCCTGACGTGGGAGTGGGAACTGCCTTCAGAGGCTGGGGTTCTAGGTAGGGACGGGGAGTGAGGGAAAGAACTGTGGAAGGTGAGTTTACAGGGCTCATCAGCCACAGGAGAACTTTTCCTTCCTCTGGGGGAGGTGGGTCCCAATGAGCGGAATTTACAGTTTCACTGGTTTGAAAGCAGACAATAGAAGGGTGCAGGGGGTTGAATCCCACCACCGCGACCCTATAGACAGAGTAGGGTTTCTGAGGCTGAAAATCCTTACAGCAGCAGCTTTGAACCCATGGAGTGGCTTGTGGGTTCAAACCATCGACCTTAAGGTTAGAAGCCCAATGCTTAATCCACTGCACCACCATGGCACCTGTGATTTGAATTGTTGTTAAATGCCATCGAGTCGGTTCCAATTCACAGCAACTCTGTGTAGGGTTCCAAGGCTGGAAATTTTTGTGGAAGCAGAAAGCCTCATCTTTCAGCCATGGAGTGGCTGATCGACTCACACCTCTGACCTCATGGTTTGTAGTCCAGTGCTTATCCTACAGAGCCACCCTGCTCCCATGGGTTGGATGGTGGCCTGCAAAAGCTACATCCACCCAGACCCTGGGAGTGATCTCATTTCGAAAGGACTCGTGCAGGTGGAATTAAAGACAGCAAGATGAGGTCATCTGGACTAGGCGAGGCCCTAAATCCACTGGCAAACCAGTTGCTGGCAGCCTCATTGGCTCAGTGGGCAATCTGTACCATGAAAAGAGAAACTGGACAGTGTGTCTCCTCACCCCAGAGAAAGCCCAGCTGACAGGTGAAGGCCACGCTCTCCCACCAGCTGGACTGAAGAGGCCCGAGTTCATTCTCACTTGAGTTGAGAACATTTCAGTGGTTGACTGTTCTTGCTACATCTTTCTTCCTCAGTAGAGGATGTGGGCACAGACACAATGAGAAGGTCAACAGTAGCCCCACCCCTCACACCACCCTCTGGACCTCCACTTCCTCATCTGTCCACTTCAGTCAATCCCTCCAGCACCCAGCTCTGACACCACCTCCTCCAAGAGGTCTTCCTAGATAGCTCCCAATCTAGTGAGGCCAACCCTCCCTCCTCTGGGCTGGCTCTTGAGCAGGTTCCCATGGATGGATTAGGATGTGTCAACACATCTGTCTTCACATCCCAGAGAGAGGTTGACCCAATCTTCCTGGGATGCCGACAATAGCTGGATGCTTAGAACACAGCACACGCCTAGCAAACGTGGAATGAGTGATAGAATGAGGTTGAAGGGTAAGATCTGCCTGTGGGCTCCAGACAGGGCCACTCGGGAGAGAAGTCACAATCAGGTGTTAACACACCTAACCATTCATTGTGACGGGGAGGCCGCTGCTATTTGGCTGGCCCTGGTTTGGTCCTGGGTGTGCCATCCTGGAGAAAGCATTCAGAAATGATTGCTTATAGAGGTGGACTTTGCTGGTAGCAGTACCAGCTCAACACCCCAAGAAGGAGCCTCAGGTTAGTGCCCTGGATGGAGGAATAGGACTCTATTGGGTGACATCCGGGGTGAAGAGGGAGCTTTTCACTGGGGACCCAGTGGCTTGTGGGATAAACCACATTAGATGCTGTCCCCGGGTCACTGAGCCATGAGGACTGACCTAGCGGACAGAGTGCTGGTTGAACTTAGTCCTTATCTTGCCTCATCCCTTAAAGGCTCTGACGCAGTTTCCCAAGTGCTCTAAGAACAAGGAGACCAACTAATGCTGCCGGTGTCATCAGATACCATCGAGTCAAGTTCCAGGTCGTAACAACCCAACGTCCAACCAAACCAAACCCTGGTCAGTCCTGCACCGTCCTCACAATCACCGCTGTGCCTGAGCCCACTGTGGCAGCCACTGGGTCAGTCCATCTCCTTGGGGGGTTTGCTCTTTTTTGCTGACCCTCTACTTTACCAAAAGAGTTCTGGTGGTGCAGTGCAGTAAGTATTGGATTACTAACCATAAGGTCAACGGTTCAAACCCACCAGATGTTCTGCAGGAGAAACATGAGGTAATCTGCTTCTGAAAACAATTCGAGCCCCAGAACTCTTTTGGATCAGTTCTGCTGTGTCCTGTCGGGTCACTATGAGTTGATGGCAGTGGGTTTGGGTTTTCTTGTTTGTTTGTTTTTGTTACTGCTTCTACTTTATCAAGCATGATGTCCTTCTCTAAGGACTAGGAAGCAGAGAAGTGTGTGAAAGTCAAGACCAATAGATGGGGTTGGGGAGGAAAGAGACAGAGATAGCAGGAAGCAGGGAGGTGGGCAATCAGAAGAGGTCTTAAGGTCTAGGCAGTTGCCACCACATTGGTTGTGAGCTTCCTGGGAGCCAGAGTAGAAAGAGATACAAGCACAAGATTCTTTTTAACCTGTTATTAATTATCCAAACTGTTGGTTTACCACGAGCTGGGTGCTGAGCCCTTTTAAATCCTTGTTAACAAGATGTGTATAAAAATAAATACTTTCTTCTCATCCTTCAGGGCAAGTTAGGCAGCTTAGCCTAAGAATACTAAATGTAAAGACAATAGGCAACATGAAGCAATATAAGTAAGACGTTCAGTACAGTGGCCTATTGTTGTTGTTAAGTGCCATCCAGTCAATTCTGACCCACAGCGACCCTGTATAGGGTTTCTGAGGAGCAGCTGATGAGCTTGAACTACTGACCTTGCAGTTCAAATGGCTTTGCAGTCTGGCACATTAACCCACAGCGCCACAGTGGCCTACAGAGTCAACATTAAATACACCAGCCTGGGGTGGCTCTGTGAGTTAATACACTGGACAGGAAGGTCGGTTTGAACCACAAGGTCAGCGGTTCAAGCTCACCAGATGCTCCTGGAAACCCTATACAGGGTTACTATGAGTCAGAACTGACTCAACGGCACTTCACAACAACAAAGTTTATCAAGGAGTCCTGGTGTGGTGCTGTAGGATCAGCACTGGACTGCTAACCATAAGGTCAGTGGTTCAAACCCATCAGCGCGGCTCCTGGGAAACCCTCTACAGGGTTGCTCTGAGTTGGAACCAGTTCTACGGCACTTTACAACTCTGCTAACGATGATATAACCGCAATGCACTGGAGTGTGTCCCCAGAACTGAGTTGTGAATCCTGACTGCTCTGCTTGTGGTCATCATCCTGTTTAGGAAGGGGCTGTCTTTGTGATGTGAACGAGGCAGGATTCATGTAGCCTAGGCCTTGAGCAAAGATGTCAGCTTGACAACTAAGGTACGCCTGACCCAAGCCATGGTATTTTCAGTAACCTCATATGGATGCGAAAGCTGGACAGTGAATAAGGAAGATCATAGAAGAATTGATGCCTTTGAGTTGTGGTGTTGGAGGAGAATATTGAAAGTGCCATGGACTGCCAAAAGAACAAACAGTTCTGTTTTGGAAGAAATGCAGTCAGAGTGCTCCTTGGAGGCCAAGATGGCTAAACTTCGTCTCTCATACTTTGGACACATTGTCAGGAGGGAACAGTCACTAGAGGACTGCTTGGTAAGATGGAGGGTCAGAGAAAAAGAGGAAGACTTCTAACGAGATGGGTCGGCCAGGTGGCATCATTGATGGACTCAAGTGTGGCAGCGATAGTGAGGTTGGCCCAGGATCGGACATTGTTTCGTTCTGCTGTGCATGGGGTCACTATGAGTCAGTTCCGACTCCATGGCACCTGACAACAAAAGGTCTTGAGTCAACCACTTTTGAATGATCCAAAAGATGGAATAAGTCAGAGGGAGAAGCAGAGATGGGGAAGAGAAATGCTACCTGAAGATCACGGAGGAACAGAAGACCTTCCTCCAGCCCCAATGGAGAGACAAAGCCTTCTCCTCAAGCTGGCTCCCTGGATTTGAACTTCTAGCCTCATCAACTGTGGGGAAAACTTCCTGGGTTACCACCAGCCACGTGTGGCATTCCTGTTACAACAGCCCTCCAAAGCTCAGGCAGTAAGGTTGGGGGGTCATTTTGTCTCTGGCCTCCAGAGGCCAGCTCCGTCTCCATCCCCCAAACGCCAGCACCCAGCGAGCCAGCGGAGCAAGGCCAGATGTGATCATTGAGGACAAGACCTTTGGTCTATCTGATTTCGGTTGTTCTCTAATTCTTTCCTTTTTTTTTAAAGACAGAAACCTGGTCAGGGGAGGACAG